TACGAGCAGCAAGTAAAAAAAGCAAGACGCATTTGTAGGACAGCCAAACACAAAGGATATATCTCCATGGTTACCTGATGCTACTGTAGCTACGACGTCACTTAACAACCGTAGTCAGGTAGACAACGGGTTTACGACGTAATTTTGATCTGAGCAGTAGAAATAAGATTGGTCTCTCAACCAGTCTATGGTCTCACTTGCAGCAGCAGAGGTGAGACGAGTGCGAATGAAGGGACCATAAAGTGCAACCCCGAAAAAAGAAATGCCTACAAAAAAACAACAACATTAAATTACCAGTCAAATACATTGGAGTAGTCTCTCATTGCATGGTTTCTTGTGGTTTTCATTCATTTTGTTTTGTTTTATGTACTCTCTTTGTGGTCAGCTCTATGTATGGGTGCTGTACTTGAATGTGCAGTACTGATTGAATGTACTTATTTTAAATTAAGTTTTGGGTAAAAAAAGGAGGTGCCTACTGCCTAACGATACATACTTCACCAACATTACTTGTTGCCATAGTGACGTTGCTGTAACTTGCATATGCAATTTCGTATACTTCACTTTTCCAAGATTTGTAGATCCAAGGTCTTATATAAAACGGTAAGCGACATAGCAAAAATAAATATTAAATGTATAAATACTGACAAAAACAATGAAAAAACCATGAGATTTACACTCAGCTTGACTTTATCTGTCAATCAAGAGCTCAAAGTGATATGTGACTCGCTGAATGCGAGGACAGGGCCGTCTACTCTTGTGTACAATGACTTTCATTTTTCGAAATGTTGATTGCAAATGTGTTTTTCTCTCTTCACTTCACTCCCCATTCTCATCACTGGACTCCTCAAGGACGAAAAATAGTTTCTCATACCGAACATTCACTATAGGTTCATTGAGGGCTTGGGATGTTTTGATTAATATCATACCCAAAGATGTTGCAAACAAATTGATACATAATGAACCTGTATTTAAGTACCGGTATCTTCTGTTAGAATGCTAAAATCCATTATTGTGTCATTGTCGCTTGCTTTGTTTACCCTGGCAGCAAGGCTATTATGAGATCAAAAAGATGTCTTTTTAATTAGCTACTGAGGGAGACCACATCCGGAAGTACATCGGTATGGTACTGCTACAACATTTGTGCACGTCTCTGACTTCAAACACAAGGTGGTCTCAGTTATTTATGGATATAGAACAAAAGACACTGCAAAAAAAGAAATCTGTCCCATCACAGCTATGAATACTGTGAGTTGTATTGTTTTTGAAGAAGTCATACAACCACTTAATAAAACTGTCTTCATTTGCATTTTCATGGATTTCTTTGAGTTCAGGCTTGCAGGCGCCCAAAGAAAAATCTTCTGATGTATTAGCAAATACTAAACAGTTCTGTCCTTAAAACAATTTCCGAATGAATATCGAGAATGCATCATATAAAATGGAATTGGATGCCAAGTCTTACAACATTTCCATGAGTTGGCCATCCTGGCTCAACCTTTGCTGTTTGTCTCAAACAACTAAAACATAAAGGAATATGTAACAGATAGGTCAAATGGAGCACATTTGTTTTATATGATATACCTGTATCAAGAAAGTTTCAACTCCCAAATATTATTCATGTTAGATAGATGTTTTATTCAGATGAATAGTTTGAGGGTTTTTTGGCTGATTCTCCTTACACAAGTTTGACATTCAATGAATTTTAAATGCATAAGCTTATTTCTATTATCTTGCTTCTGAAAAAGTGAAGTCTATTAGTATCATCATACCTGTCATTTCCACATGTGAAATTATACTTCTGTACAATGGATGTATAAATGTACCCCCGAAACGTAATCACTGTATAGGCTCTTGATACACTTAACCATGATTAATTATTAAGAGTAATGAAGAGCACTTAGGTAAAGTACTTCTACTAGTAATTCCTTTAGCTGCATCACCCCAGGGCTTATCATCACTGTGCAGAGTATCCCCTCCTTATTGCTGCTTTATTATGACACTCAATGCAGAAATGTGTTAGATAGAAAGAGCGTCAACAGAGCATGGCACGGAGAAAGTTTCATAATTAACTTTTTTTTCTCTACAGGAAAGGCTTGACACTGATTGGGACAGACAGTATCATTAAAATAAAGCCTGGCATGCAGTGAACACTGACGAAGCCGGTATGGAGAAATCAGTTAATAAATCAGTGCTTGTTAGCATACTTAATTATGACTAATTATTCAGTCATTATTTTGAAAATAATCTATTCATTTGCATCAGTCAAAACACAACAATTACTATTGACAATGTTAGTTTTGAGATACTTGAGACTAGTGACAGTAACATAAAGCTGTTTTCCCAAACGATTAAGTTCATAATAAAAGTATGAATGCAATTAAGGCTTCCAGAAATAAAATCACCCTTATACCTTAACCGATAACTAGCGTTGCATTCACATAGCACTTGGTTCCAGCTTTCCTTAAAATAGCTTTTTTTTGTGGGAAAAAGGGACTAAGGGAAGAAGGGAGTTACCCACACAGATTAGCTGCCAGACCAAAATGCATCTCATCGAAAATCACGCATCAGCTGCCTTAACCAATAAACCTATTTGTATTGAACCAGTCTGTGTTTGAGGTTTAAGTCGGGGGTTTAATGACTTTCTCGGAACAAAGAGACGTTGGTACGTTCACCTACTACTACGGGTTAGTATCTCCCTGGGAACAAAGTCCCATCGTTCCTTTACATAACCTTTGGAGTATGAAACTGTCTACTCAATTAGGTGCACCAGGGAGTACAAGTCTATGAACATGACTGAAACCCGTCTATACGGAGTCCGACTTAAACTGACTCCTAATAGTCACTGAACGTAGTGAATGCAGACGAGTCGAAGTGAAAGTCCGTCCACGGGGAAGATCCCCAGAAATTATTCTTTCCACACATTAGTTTTATCGTTCTGGCTCCGCATCTTCTTCTAGTTTATTTTGGGAATACATGTGAGATCTTTTCTTTGTGTCGGAACCGGTAGTTAGTTTCTTTTAGTTGTAAACGTAGACCTACAAAGGAACTTCAATTCTAGTGAAGATTACTTTAACAGAATTTCGTTGTTTTCGAATACACTTCAATCCCCTCTTCCTAAGAAGGTCAGGATGTTAGAGTCTCCACACAAAATTAATGGCTCGAATCCCATTATTCTAACCATCGTATTGTGTTCAAAATTCACTCATGAGTTTTCGGTAGAACCAAAACACCTGATCAAAATGGCGCAACTCTAAGATTTTCCCTAAAATACAACTGATCCGAATATGCGGATAAGCGCCCATGGTTCAAAGATTCCAACTGGCAATGCGTTTTTTAGACTTCAACAAGGTTGATCAAAATGCGAACTAATCTGCTTAAAAGATTCAACAGTACATCGAATTAACTGCGGCGATTACAACACCGCCGCCGCGCTACGTTCAACAACAGTCAACTTCACGGTGGACCATTGGCGCACAAAATGAAAGACCTTACCATTCACCGATAACATTATGTGTCATACCCGGAGTACTCGTGGATCACACATTCCAATGTGTAAAAAATGAAGTCTGTTTCTTCGAGATAAGAAGTTAATACTAAATCATATT